ATGCATACATGACTGAAATGAGACTCAAAAAAGAGACACAGATTCAGAGTTCCAACAGTTGGTTAGGACAAAAACACATTTCAGCATGGCAAATATTTCTTCTATCATGTGTCGTTGCTTTTAGATATAAAACTGTACAAATCTGCCTTAAATCAGCCTGTAGGCTCAATAGTCAGGCATGCTCGCATCAATCTGGCAACCTGCGCCTGTGTGGACTCGTAGAAACCGAGTGAAAATGTGTTTCGATCCAGGAGTGCAATACCTAGTTCAACCACTGGGTGTCAAACTTACACTGCACCTTTAAGCTTGGTTGATAATAAATTGACACATTGGGGTGACACTGTGGTGCAGTCACCATACACATGAAGGTCGCTGGTTCAAGTCCCAGGTAGATCTGTTAGTGTGTGTGTGGAGTTTGCATGTCTTCCCCGTGTTGACGTGGGTTTCCTCCGGGTGCTCCGGTTTCCCCCACAGTCCAAACAAATGCGCTATAGGGGAACTGATCAACTAAACTGGCCGTAGTGTATGAGTGTGTGTGTAAATGCAAGAGTGTGTGGTTGTAAACCAGTGCTGGATTGTGGCTGGAAGGGCATCTGCTGCATAAAACACATGCTGGATAAGTTGGGGGTTCATTCCACTGTGGCAACTCTTGGTTAATAAAGAGAGCAAGCTGAAAAGAAAATAAAAGAGTGAATAAATTAATAAATTATGTTAATAATTTATGCAAATCATTGGACAACAGTTTGTTTTTAGCCAAAATATTCATATTACATTAATATATACATATTTATTATTGACTTGAAAAATTGTGAAATCCGCATTTATTCAAGTCAAACCGAAAGAAACAATAGTTTTTTCAGATTTAAAAAAGATGTTGTCATGAAATGCTGTGGAAAAGCTCTGTTCAGCAGCACTGAAGCATCTGAAATAGCTGAAAAAGTCTTACAATTTCACAGGAGGGCGAATAATGTTGCCTTTGACTGCAAGTGTTTCTTGTGACTCACTGGTGGTTCTGTGCATCTGCCATTCTTGTGATCTTGAAAGTACAGAGCAATCTTATTATTTATCGCTGCTCAACACGTCTGCAATCTGCATCAGATTGTATGATATTATATGATAAATGTATTCAGTAGAGAGCTGGGCTGTGTCTCAATCAGCTCCCTTGTTCAGCACTGATCAGGGAGTCAGGTGTGTTAAAGGAGTAGTTCAAATTACCCCATAATTTACTCTCTCTCTCTCAAGCTGTCCTCTGTGTATATGACTTTTTGTCTATCAAACAAACACAGTCGAGAGTAGTTTTACATTTTATCTTGGGCATCTTCCTGCTGGATAATGGTGTTAGGTTTATTTCGAAGCTTATATTTTGAAGAATCGCCAATCCCCCAAACAAAAGCACACATTTTTTTAATGAAGAAAGAGTTATTCATATTTAACTATGAATGAGCATAGATAGGCAATCTAACAAATGGTTAATGGTTGAAATGTTTCTGATATCTGATATGTGAAACTCAAGTCAGAATTATTCGCCCTCCTTCGATTTTTATTTTCCTTTTTAAATATGTCCCAAATTATGTTGACCAGATTCAGGAAATTTTCACAGTATGTCTGATAATATTTTTTGCTTCTGGATAAAGTCTGATTTGTTTTATTTCAACCAGAATAAAAGCAGATTTTATTTTTTTAAACATCATTTTAAGGTCAATATTATTAGCCCCTTTAAACATTTTTTTTTAAGATAGTATCCAGAACAAACCATCATTATACAATGACTTGCCTAATTACCCTAACCTGCCTAGTTAACCTAATTACCCCAGTAAAGCCTTTAAATGTCACTTTAAGCTGTATAGAAGTGTCTTGAAAATATCTAGTCAAATATTATGTACTGTCATCATGGCAAAGATAAAATAAATCAGTTATTAGAAATTAGTTATTAAATGAAGTTTCACAAACTAATTTCGAGAGGAGCACGTGATATGATTGACTGCAGCTGGCCACTCATCTACACTCATTGGTTAGCCAATCAGATTGATCCAAACTCACTATAAATAACCTAGCTAAGATCTACTCCCTTATCTCCGTTTTCCGAAGAAACCCCCCATCCACCGCTTCTCCTCCTTTCCTCTTTTGCCGAGGGGAGCTCTCGAGAACACCTGACCTCGTACTCCCCTCACATGCTTTATGGACCTGGCGGGAGCCCTGGGCTCAACTATCTACGAGCTCAGGGTTCTCCCCCGGGACAGCATGCCAAACCTGCTAACTTGCTAACAAGTTGTCAAACAGTATCTAAGTGTGAACTCTTGAAAACTATTATGATTGGGAAAAAAAATTATTCTCTCCGAAATTGGGGAAAAAAAAAAAAAAAAAAGTAAACAGGGGGGCAAATAATTCTGACTTCGACTGTTTGTGAAAAATATCACTCTTGTTGTTATCCAGAGAATCCAGTTTTGATGTTGTTTAATGAGGATTTTCTCAGTCATGCACAGTATCCCATTTGCTTTGTTTCCATCCAAAGATTTGACTTAAGTTTATGCACAAAACTGGAATATTTCATAAAACATTAGTGAATAAAGCAGCGTTTCCCTCCAATGAGACTTAAGTGAAGAAAAACATCCTGCAAAACATGCAGAAATATTGCTGAGAGAAGTGTGGTTTGATGCACCTTTGGGATTTGCCGCTGTTGAAAACGAAGACTGAATGAACGTGGTGAGTGAGGTGGCTTTTAAAGGCGTGAGACAGATGCTCAAGAATAATAGGGAATAATAATAGAAGAATAATAATACTGAAGCACTGATACTGATAGCGGACTGACGGAGAGCTGACGCCTTTTACAATCAACAAAACAACTTTTCCGATATTTTACAATGAAACATTCCATTAATGCATCCCTGAAACACACAGTTATATCTGACCATCATCTGGTAAAATCTAAATCAATGTTTGGAAATGTTAAATTTATTCAGTAAATGTGTTTGCATTGTAGTTCATACTCAGTTTTTATTATTGGATATAAGTTTTACCCTACAATCTAAGAAATAAAGGTATGCGAGCTGTCACTGGGGTGGTACCTTTTCAAAAGGTACAAAATTGTACCTAAAAGGTCCATATTAATACCTCAAGGATACATATTAGTAACTTGGCCACACTTTACAATAAGGTTCATTAGTTAATGTTAATTAATGCATTTACTAACATGAACAAACATTGAACAATACATTTACTACAGTATTTATTCATGTTAATAAACGTTAGTTAATGAAAATACAGTAGTTCATCGTTAGTTCATGTTAACTCATGGTGCATTAACTAATGTTAACAAGCATGGATTTGAATGTTGATTATGCATTAGTAAATGTTCAATTATGATTAATAAATGCTGTACATGTGTTGTTCATGATTAGTTTGTGTTAGTAAATGCATTAACTAGTGAACCTTATTGTAAAGTGTTACCAGTACATGTTCTCTTTTAAATTTTAAAGTACTAATATATACTTTTGAGGTAACAAAATGGACCCTTTAAGTACAAATATGCACCTTTTGAAAAGATACCACCCCAGTGACAGCTCGCTTACCTTTATTTCTGAGATTAGTATGTTGTGCGTACTTTTTATGTGGATTTTGGCATTTCCATTTAGCCATTTCCATTATGTGATATTCGAAAATGGCTGGAAACATTGCTAATGTCTAGTGAACCAAGCTCATCTCAGTGCCCAAATTCATGTACTGATCTATGGCTAGGGAAGCTGATTGAGACGCACCCCTGGTTTGTGTATAAGCACTTGTGTTTCTAGATATGAGGTGACGATGAACCTGATTACAAAGGTTTAATGTTGGTTGTATAAAAACAATTAAATATATATATATATATACAGTCAAGCCTGAAGTTATTCATACCCCTGGCTAATTCGGACTTAAAGTTTTCATTCAAATGGAACAAATAAAAGCTGAGAAATGTTTTTTCCCACAGTGACGTCTCTTGTATTTTTGTAATATTTTTGTGTATATTTGTGTAATAAATCCCTTAGTCAACTAAATTGATAAATTTAACTCAATTACATATATTTTTTAATCAAACTTATTTAAGTTTTCAGTGTTTTGGGAGGTATTGAGTATATGCAGACCTGCAGTAACACTCTGGAGGGACTATGTCTCGTCTGGCCTGGGTACGCCTCGGGATCCGAGAGGGGTCTGGCTGCAGACCTGGTGCAGTGCAATCTGAGCTGCATCCAATGCTTTTTAATGCACTCACCTAACCCCACCCCTAACCCTACCCATCACAGTGACGTCACTCACCCCATTAAGTGCATTGTGTCTGAGAATGCATCGCTGAGTGATGCAATCCCAGCTTGCATCATACAGGCTGCATCTAGATACTTTTGCGGGATCCCCCTGAAGGAGCTGGAGGAAGTGTCTGGGAGAGGGAAGTCTGGGGTTCTCTTCTGAGACTGCTGCCCTCGCGACCCGAGCCTGGATAAGTGGATGAAAATGAATGAATAAATGTATACAAAACTTACACAACCAAAGAAAGACGTCTAGGCTACTGTTTAACTTTAAAACTGAGATTTGCAGTCCAGTAAATAGATGCTCAGATCAGTTTGTGTCTAATAGTTTAGTTTTGTAGCGAGTAGCTGTGTAATAATTGCAATAATGTTCATCTATCTGGTTGTTAGGCCTATTGTAATTGTAGAATAAAACCCTTCAGTCTTATAGGCCTACAGCAGCTGCTGATAAACACTGTACATTGCACTATGCATAAATCCAAACTATGGAGTATGTCCTGTTATTATGTTGCTTTAGAACCTGGTTTTATAATATTTCATCTGTGAATGAGAATTAATAGATTGACTTTCCGGATATACACTAATATGAATTTATCTTTTTTTTTTATATGCATTAATCGAAGTCTGATTTAAATAGCGTAGACTTTAATTAAATTCCCTAAATGAAGATCTATAATGTAAAAGCTATAAGATGTCCAGGACTCTAGAGGGCTGATCAGTAAATGTGTGGTGTATAAAAACAGCAGCTCAGCTGGATTTTCAGGCTGGTTCACTGTCGTTACACCTCAAACATCAGCTGATTCGCCTTCAGAGGGTTAAAATGAAAAGGAACAGCGTTTATAGGTTTTTATCAGTCTTCTCGTGTCTGCTTGTGTGCGTTTTCCTGTTCTTTTGGGGTTTTGCCTTTTATTCGATGGTTTTGGCACCATAGGACTCTTAATGGACTCCTTCAGAAACAACATACGATATTTCGACACACACTTAAACAACTGAACGACTAATTAATGTGATTTAATAATATTTGCGCATCGTTTATGATCGCGTTTATAATTAAACACCATAGTAAACGCGCGCGTGTGTGCTAACACTGCTAACAGCATTTGTAAAGATGTCAACACGTTGAACGTACAGCATTTCCAATTCGAACATTAGCAAAAACTGCACCACGTCTTTAATTCTGTAGCTTATTCGCTTATTTAATTAATTCTTAAATCATTTGTGAAACGATAGCTCCGTTCTATTCCAAAACAAACCGACTGCGCATGCGTGCAGCATGACTGTGGTCACATGACGCCAACAAGGAAGTGTTTGACTGGTAAGTGATGTTTCTGTCATATGTGCTTATTGCTGCTTTCACTCTGAATTTATCACTAATAGGAGTATAATTATGACAGGGAACATGTCAGATACTGTGTATTTCTCTGCAGTGTTCAAACAAATCGAAATGACGGTTTTACTGGAGCAGACAGTAACGTTGGCTGATATTACAGCACTAAAGAACGCAGCTTTTATTTTTATTACGTTGATATGACATTAATAAGTTTGCTAGATGTTTGTGCTCAAATAATTTAACGAATAATTCGGACAGACAAACTTTCAGAAGTGAAAACGGGGAACAGCGTCTTTAAAGCTAACACACTTCCACAAATCAAGTCTCACAAATGTCTATATCAATGAGAAAACAATATAAGTTAGCATTTTACTGTCTTAAATAGTTTATTAATTTGGCTTTTATCTTGATATACAAGTCAAATACGAGATTTTACTGTCTGCTTCAAATTAAATTAAGAAAATTGATTTTTACAAACACAGAAAGCACATTAAATGTGAATAAATCGTCTACTTTAATGTTTAAAATGCCTTTAAAATGTTTTGATATAAAATAAGAATAATAATATAAGGGTGGAATATATTCACCTTTATTTCATTTATTGCCTTTAGATAACTGATATACAGTGAGGGAAATAAGTATTAAACACGTCATCATTATTATCATTATTACGCCCTTCCAGCTGCAACCCATCACTGGGAAACATTCATACAGACTCATTCACACACACACACTCCGGTCAATTTTAGCATACCCAATTCACCTGTACTGCATGTCTTTGGACTTGTGGCGGAATCCGGAGCACCCAGAGGAAACCCACGCCAACATGGGGAGAATATGCAAACTCCACACAGAAACACCAACTGACCCGGCCTAGGCTCAAACCAGCAACCTTCTTGCTGTGAGGCGAGAGCTCTACCCACTGTGCCATCATGTTGCCTATTTGAGAACATGTTAGTTTATATTTAGATATAAAAATATATACGTACAGTTGAAGTCAGAATTATTTGCCTTCTTTATATATTTGTTTCTTTAACACATAAAAATTATAAACAATTAAAAATAAATAAAATAGTCATAAAAAAACACCTTAAAAAACCCAAAACCCTAAATATACCACAGAAACGATATAACTGAAAATTTGACCAGTTTTAAAACCTTGACTTTTCCAAATCACAGTAAACCTTGAAGCCGGTTATAATCCCATGCCTAGTTATATTGTGGATAATTAAAGTGTTTTTGTGTTTTTTATCAGTGTGTGAGGACTCCTAACATCATCTCGATGGCGGAATCCAGTCTGAAGCTTCAGTTCGCCCCGTTCTGCAGTGCTCTGGAGGCCGGATTCTGGCATCAGCTCACACAGAAGAAACTCAACGAGTACCGCTTAGACGAAAGTCCAAAAAACATCAAGGGATATTACTATAACGGTGAGTTTGGAGAACGAGCTTTTAACACTTTAAAATGTTTTTATTTGATTTATTTTATTTTCCACTAAACTAAAATAAAAATTCTCCAAAAAAAATAAAAACACTATAAAGAGCAATATTAACATTACCCGCTTTAATTTTATTTAATGTAAGTTAAATTTAATTTTAATTGATTGAATTTAATTGAATTGAATTTTATTTTACATTTTATTTCATTTATTTTATTTATTTATTTTTATTATTTTTTATTTAATTTTTTAAAATTTTATTTTATTTTCCACAAAACTAAAATAAACATTCTCCAAAATTTTTTATAAAAAAAGTAATAATAATAGAAAATTCTGTGGAAAAAAATAAAAACGTTATAAAAAGCAATATTAACCTCACCTGCTTATTTTATTTTATTTTATTTTATTTTATTGTTATATTTTTGTTATTTTTTTACTACTAAACTAAAATACAAATTCAAGTAAAGTTCAAATTAAATAGAAAAAAGTAAAAATAATAATAGAAAATACTGTGGGGGAAAAATAAGAACACTATAAAGCACCATAAAAGCAACATTAACCTTACTGGCTTAAATTAAATTAAATTAAATTAAATTAAATTAAATTAAATTAAATTAAGTTAAGTTAAGTTAAGTTAAGTTAAATTAAATTTAATATTTAATTTTATTTATTTTTTATTTATATTATAAATAAATTAAAAATAATTTTTAATTTCATTTATTATTCATTTATTTTATTTATTTTATTTAGTTGAATTTAAATTAATTTAATTTATTATTATTAAAAATGTTTTTATTTATTTTATTTTCCTCTAAACTAAAATAAAAGTTCTCCAAAAAAATAAATAAATAGTAATAGAAAATAACGTGAAAAAATAAACAGCACTATAAACAGCAATATTAACCTTACTTGCTTTTATTTTATTGTTTTATTTTATTTATTTATTTTTATTTTATTTTCAACTAAACTAAAATAAAAATTCTCCCAAAAAAGTAATAATATTAGAAAATACTGTAAAAAAATAAATTTAATTTAATTTTTTAACTGAAAGAAAATTGCTCCAGAATTTTTTTATTGATACAAATTTCATAGAGGGTACTTTATTTTATTGTATTTTATTTTATTTAAATTTTATTTTATTTCCACCTCAAACTAAAATAAAAATTATCCTAAAAATAAAAGAATAATAGGAAATTCTGTAAAAAACATTAAACAGCACTATAAACAGCAACATTAAACTAATGCAATATTAAATAATGCAAATTTCACAGGAGCTCTTATCAGTTTGTTTCTTCAGTACAGCATATATTAGCAGTAATTTATTTATTCAATAACCATATCCATCTGAGAGCACTGAATGCATCTTTCAGCTGTGATATAATGCAAATGTTGTTATAATTGCAGGTGATGCTGTTGGTCTGCCGGCGCGCTTGACACTGGAGTTCAGCGCATTTGATGCGTAAGTTTTTACGTATTTAAAGCATGCGATATAGTTGGTTATTCTGAAAGTCTGGAGATCTGCCTCATTATCACGTCTGTTACTTGTGAAATTAATGATTTTCCTCTGCCAGTGAAGTCCTTGAGGGCGGTTTCAGTAGGATTAATTTAACGTTTATGATGGCTGAGTAATTGCTCTGGCCACACAGAACAGATATTTCCAGCTCAGTTTTCTGATGGATAAAGTCACTTCTGACCCTGTCAAAACCATCTGCTCTTCCCTTCCCTTCACTCAAAATAAGAATTAATCACTTCATAACATGGAGAGGTTTCTTCAGGCTGCAAAAATAGGGTATAAGATGCTGCAAGCAGAAGAAAATGCATCTGTGTATGTGAGAACTTTGCTGTCAATTAATATGTTATTAATTTAGTTTAAAAGGGAGCTGTTACGCAAGCTTCTAATGGTGGACATGAATGAATTGTGTTTGTTCTAATCAGACTTGATAAAAACACTTTAATTGACATTCTGCTTTTGTACATGTCATCAGAGAGTGAAAGCCCCGCCCACTAGTGCCCATCTCTCATTAGCATAATCAGCAGCCCTGAGTGAGAAGCAGCCGTCTGTCCAGTAGCCATTAGAGTGTTTGAGCTGCTGAAGATGATGTCAGCATAGACTCAGTGGATTATAGATGTGGAGTTTAAGATGAACAGCAACAGGAGCCAGATAGACTGACAGAAGCATGAGCACACACTCATTCTGAAGCACACCTGACCAGCACTCACAACACAGCTAGTTTTGATATATTTGACAATCAAATTGACAGGAGGGTTAATAATTTTGACTTCAGCTTTAATTGTGTGTAATAGGGATGGACCCACGCCGGCGCGCTGCTGTCCCGCATCAGGAACTCTGTACAACACAAACACACTCGAAGCCTTCAAATCCACCGACAAAAAAGCCCTGCTGGACAAAGCAGCCAATGAGGTGCATCTTCATTCATTCCTAATTAATTCAATTCGCTTGATTTGCTCTGTGTGTTTGTGCACTAACTGAGTTACGCTCCTCCTTTCTCTGCGTGTCTGGACACTGAACATCCTTCTCCATCATTTGATTAATTACTGCTTTATTCTTAATCTTCTTAATGCAATTATTTTTGCTGCCGGCTTTCTGCAGGTGGTAATTACACACAGATATGAGCAGTGGACAAACAGCGCTGCTTTTATCAATGCATTTTAATAAGCCCAGTGGTTTTTACACTGATTCTGTACTATATTCTATTCTTATTTCTATTCTACTGTATTCTATTCTCTATTTACTATACTATTCTACTCCATTCTGTGCTATTCTCTATTCTAGTTTTTATTCTACTCTATTCTATTCTTATTTCTATTCTATTCTACTCTATTTTATTCTCTATTCCATTTTCTGTTTTATTATATTCTACTCCATTCTATTATATTTTCTATTCTGTACTACTCTATTCTGTTCTATTCTTATTTCTATTCTAATACTATTTTTATTCTATTGTATTCTCTATTCTATTCTATTTTCATTTCTATTCTCTATTCTATTCTCTATTCTATATACTCTGTATTCTCTATTTTATTTCATGGTTCTATTATGTTATATTACTTTCTATTCTTCTATTCCATTATAATCTTTATTCTATTCTATTACATTGTTGTATTGTAGTCTATTCTATTATATTCTCCTTTCTATCCTCTATTCTTTTCTTATTATTTATTCTATTCCGTTCCATTATTCCATTCTATTCTATTATTACATTATATCCTCTATTCTCTTCCATTATTTTATTCTCTGGTCTTCTCCATTATTCCAATCTGTTCTATTCTGTTATTCCATTCTATTCTACTCCATTCTCTATTCTATTAACTTTTTTATTCTATTTTATTCTGTTCTATTCTAGTCTCTGTTCTATTTTATTATTCTAATCTCTAGTATATTCTGATCCATTCTGTTCTATTCTCTATATTCTGTTTTATTATTTTCTATTCCATTGTTTTATCCTATTTTTTATTATATTCTAAAGAATCCTTTCTATTTCATTAAATTATTCTATTTTTTCTGTTTTATCCTATTATCTATTCCATTCCTTAATTGCATTCTATTCCATTATTCCATTTTATTATTTTATTTTCTTCTCTATTCTATTAATTGTTTATTATAATTGTTAATATTCTATTTATTGTATATTATTCTATTTTGTTCTATTGTTCTATTCAATTATCTATTCTCTATTATAATCAATTATTTAATTCTATTCTATTCTATTCTATTCTGTTCTGTTCTGTTACTTCTTATTCTATTCTATTATTCCATTCCGTTTTCTAATCTATTTTCTATTCTATTCCATTATCTTATTCTATTCAAATCCATTCTATTCTCTATTCTATTCCATTATTCTATTCTATTCTATTCTATTCTATTCTATTCTATTCTACTACTTTCTTATTTATTTAAAAAAGCAATAGCAACAGTTGAACTTGTTCCATGCTCTGTATTAGTCCGCTGGGACTTTGATTTGATTGCATCTGTTGTCTGCAATTGTAAGTCATTTTGGATGAAAGCGTCTGCAAAATTATTCAATGTAAATGTAAATGAACATAGACTGGCATTATGCAAATTCAGTGCAAACCTACAAAGGTTTGTGCTGAAAATAAAGCTGAAATTACTGACGACTCATTTCAGCAAGTTTCAGACAATAACTGCGTTTATCTGCACTCTGATCTTTGCAGACCTTTTCCTTTCTCAAACAAACAGCCACATTACACACTGCATGGAACTCAATATCCAACAAAAGCTCAAATAAATTGCATCTCTTAGCAGTCCCTTGATATCTGCAGCCTAAAATGATAATTTCGTGATGGCTTTTCTTAAAATGTGTGGCATTATTCACTTCGGTTTGTGTGTTATGCTATAAAAATGCACAGAAATGTTAAAAAGTATTTCTGTTTTATAGACTTTGAGCCTAGATCAGTAAAATAGAGCTCTTTGTCTTATCGTTTTTGTTTTTTCATTTATTTATTTATTTATTTTTTTTTGAATTAACAAATTAAAAAAAAAAAACTACAATTACAGCCAGGACTGTTACATTTTCACTTTTGCATTTGCGTAAACCATATCATTAATATCCCCTGCTGTACTGTCCCTTTAATTAATCCCGATAATGTTGTCTTCTTCACAGATCTGGAGCGCTATTCAGTCCGGCGCTGCTCTCGAAGACTCTTCAATCCTCAACAAGTTCATCCTCTTGACATTTGCGGTTTGTGTGCCAACATTTTAGAAAATGTCCCAATAAAATTAATGTCCTTTCATCCATTTGTTTCTGACTGGGGCTTTTGTTTGTGCAGGATCTGAAGAAATATCACTTCTATTATTGGTTCTGCTTTCCTGCGCTCTGCTTTGTGGAGGGCATCCAGCTGCTGCGCGCGCCGCTGTCATTAGAGCAGCATTTCTCTGACAAACAGGTGTGCAGGAGAGCCCAAACTGTTGCCCACACGGAGGATTCGTGCGAAGGATAATGAGTCATTAGGCGCTGCTTTATGGAAAGCATGTGCTGATTAGAAATATTTATTCAGCAGTAATTATTGGAAGGCATAATCTCAGATAGGCTGTGAGAAACATGATGTGTCTTAAGGTCAGCGTGTATTGGAAGATAAGATTTTTCCTGTATTGTAACGTACAGTACATCCAGTTAAAGTAGAATAGGCTTAATTGCTCCGCCCTAAATGGCTGATAGCTCCACCCAAAAAGACTGCTTGCTCCGCCATAAAGATCGATAGCTCCACTCTATAGAACTGATAACCCCACCCTAAATGACAGATAGCTCCCTCCTAAATGTCTGATAGTCACACCTTAATATCACACCTTAATGACTAATAGTCTGACCATAGATCACTGATAGCTCCGCCCTAAATGACTAATTGCCCCACCATAAATGCTTGATAGCTCCACTTTAAATGACTGATTGCCCAGTCCTAAATGGCTAATAGCTTCCTCCTAAATGACTAATAGCCCCGCTTTAAATGACAAATAACCATGCCCTAAAGGACTGCTAGCCCTGCCTTAAATGACGAATAACCACGCCCTAAATTACTGAAAGCATCACACTAAATGCCTGATAGCTCCCTCCTAAATGACTAATAGCCCTGCCCTAAAAAACTGATAGCTCCGCCCTAAATGGCTAATGACACCGCCCTAAATGACAAATAACCACGCCCTAAATTACTGATAGCTCTGCCCTAAATCGCTAATAGTTCCTTCCTAAATGACTAATAACCCCGCCCTAAATGACAAATAACCACGCTTAAATTACTCATAGCTCCGCCCTAAATCGCTAATAGTTCCCTCCTAAATGACTAATAACCCCGCCCTAAATGACAAATAACTACGCCCTAGATTACTCATAACTCCGCCCTAAATCGCTAATAGTTCCCTCCTAAATGACTAATAAACCCGCCCTAAATGACAAATTACCATGCCCTAAATTACTGATAGCTCTGCCCTAAATCGCTAATAGTTTCCTCCTAATTGACTAATAACCCTGCCCTAAATGATAAATTACTATGCCTTAAATAATGATAATTTTGTGCTAAATGACTGATAGCTCTCTTATAAATAAATAATAACCCCGGTCCTAAATCACTGAGAGCCTACCCTAATTAACTGATAGCTCCACCCTAAATGACTGATAGCCTGCCCTAAAGGACTGATAGCTCCGCCCTAAATGTCTGATAGCCTGCCCTAATGAACTGATCGCTAAGCCCTAAATGACCTGCCCTAAAGGACTGATAGCTCCGCCCTAAATGTCTGATAGCCTGCTCTAAAGAACTGATAGCTCCGCCCTAAATGACCTGCCCTAAAGGACTGATAGCTCCGCCCTAAATGTCTGATAGCCTGCTCTAAAGAACTGATAGTTCCGCCCTAAATGACCTGCCCTAAAGGACTGATAGCTCCGCCCTAAATGTCTGATAGCCTGCCCTAATGAACTGAAAGCTCCGCCCTAAATGTCTGATAGCCTGCCCCAAAGAACTGATAGTTCCACACTACAAAACTAAAAGCTCTGCCCTAAATGACTAAGAGCCCCACACTACAAGACTGATAGCTCCACCTTAAATACCTAGTAGCCCCGCCCTAAGTGATAAAACAACCACGCCCTAAATCACAGAAAGTTTCACACTACAGGACTGATAGCTCTGCCCTAAATGACTAATAACCCTGCCCCAGATATGTTATATTATATAAATAATGAATTTCCATGAATGCCATTGTGCGTGTGGAGTGACATTCAGACATATTTAGTCCATATTCATTTGCACTCGACCTTTAGGTGCATTTCTGCCTTTGACAAAACATTTTCCACCCACTCATGAGCATTCATTTCTTTCTTTTGATTGCGTTTCATGTGTCGATGAGGTGCGCTGATTGTTTTGGATCGATTTGTTTCACAGATATCGAGTTTGCAATCGGCGTATGATAATCTCTGTGCCTCCAGCGGAACGACGGCAGTCCCGCATTTTCTGCTGAAATACTCTGAGGAAAGTGTTGAAGTGGCTCCTCTGAAAGAGCTGAACTCCTTCTTCCCGGACCTAAAGAGGGTAATTTACAGCACTTCACATCAGTAACATTTGTGGCAGATTAAGTAATAATTATATAACATAACAATGAATTCAGAATTAATAGCCCCCCTTTGTCATTGTTTTTTCTTCTTTAAATATTTCCCAAATGATGTTGAACGGATTGAGGAAATGTTCACAGTATGTCTGATAATATTTTTTTCTTCTGGAGAAAGTCTTTATTGTTTTATTTCGGCTACAATATAAGCAGTTTTTAATTTTTCAATCACCATTTTAAGGTCAATATTATTCGCCCCTCTAAGCTACATTTTCTTTCGATAGTCTACAGAACAAACAACTGTTATACAATCACTTGCCTAATTACCCTAATCTGCCTAGTTACCCTAATTAACCTGTTTATAAATATGTGGATTATTTAAGAAATAAATGATGACAATCCATTGAAATTAGTGCTGGGCAGAAACTAATCCTTTACTAAACTAATTATCATGCTCAGCATAAATGAGCACTCTCCATGTTGTAAATTAATCTTTTCCTCCATTTCTCAGTGAATATAGGTCATGTATCTTGGTGCATTTGAACAAAACAGATTTATTAAACAAGTGTTTTAAATACAATTATATTTTAGTCACAGAACATCTGTAGAAGTAGATAGAGATAGAAATAAAGATAGTACAATAAATATAATATACATTTATAAATTATACAAATATTTATATATTTCAAGTGAAAATACAGATGAAGAGCAGTGTGGCTCGAAACATTACACGCTTTGTTTTAGCCTTTTTAATTTAATAAATTTGCAATTTTGGAGCTTTGGTGTTGCCGCCTTTGTTGAACACACAGTTGAAGTCAGAATTATTCACCCCCCTTTAATTTATTTTTTCTTCTTTAAATATTTCCCAAATGGTGTTTAACAGAGCGAGGAAATGTTCACAGTATGTCTGATAATATTTGTTCTTCTGGAGAAAGTCTTATTTGTTTTATTTCGGCTAGAATAAAAGCAGTTTTAAATTTTTAAACGCCATTTAAGGGTCAATAATATTAGCCTCATATCTAGTCTAATATTTAATGTAATCATGGCAAAGATCAAATAAATCAGTTATTAGAGATGAGCTATTAAAACTATCATGTTTAGAAATGTGTTGAAAAAATCTGCTCTACATTAAACAAAAATTGGGAAAGAAAATAAACAGGGGTAATAATTCGGTGGAGTTTGATGGAGTTTTTGAACTGATTGTGATGTCACTGATGGCATTTCCTGCGGTGTGTGTGTGTGTGTGTGTGTGTTTCAGGTGGCTGTGGGTGTGTACGACCCATGCACGCTACCTCAGCATCCCGGATGGCCTCTCAGAAACCTCCTCGTCCTCCTCGCTAAAAAGTGGTACGTCTGTAATGAGTTTTTCCAACACGCTTCCCACCAGTGTTAAATTATAGCCCTGTTTCCACAGCTCCGCTCCGCATTACTTTCCATCGCTAACTTGTTTTTTTTTTCTGCGACTACAAGAATGTGAGAAAATATGATGTCCGACCATCTGCTAGAATATCTGGGGGTTTGTTAGAAAGCATTGGACAAACTGCTTCAATCGTGGGTAATAAATGTGGAGTGTCTGATTTGTGTATACTCTGATTATATTTACCTTTAGACGCTTTTATTCAAACCGATGTGCAAATGATTTACAGTGTTCAGCCCTGACAGATCTCTCTTTTAAATGCACATTTGGCATGCTTTACAGTAATACATTTGCAAAGACTAAACTGATGAACTCTAACAAAAACACTGAAGATCACAGTCCAGAAATAAATGTTTAGTAAAAATATGAAGCAAATTTAGTGCGGCATGATGGCGCAGTGGGTAGCATCCTCACCTCACAGCAAGAAGGTTGCTGGTTTGAGTCCCGGCTGGGTCAGTTGGTGTTTCTATGTGGAGTTTGCATGTTCTCCCCATGTTGGCATGGGTGCTCTAAAGGGGAATTGGGTAGGCTAAATTGTCTGCAGTGTATGAGTGTGAATGGGAGTGTATGGGTGTTTCCCAGTGGTGGGTTGCAGCTGAAAGGGCATCCGCTGTGTAAAACGTGCGGGATAAGTTGGCGGTTCATTCCGCTGTGGCGACCCCTGATTAATAAAGGAGCTAAGCCGAAGAGAAAATGAATAAATGAATGAATATTTCAGTGTGATTGCACTATTTACACTATTTATACTACAAAATGGTGTCGAATAGTTATTAGTATGTGATTTGGGATGCACTTTCTATATATAATTTCCAGCAGAAATAAGACTTTTTCCAGAAGAAAAATATGATCAGGAATATTGTGAAAAACTAAAATTCTTAGGGCTCTATTTTGACGGTCCATGCGCAAAACGCAGGGCACAAACGCTTTCAGGGCGTGTCAGGACGCGTTTTTGCTAATTTAAGGACGGGAAATCTGCCTTGCGCTTCGGTGCATGGTCTAAAAGGGTTGAGTTTATTTTCTTAATGAGTTATAGGTGTGTTTTAAGAATAAACCAATTACAGTCTCATCTCCCATTCCCTTTAAGAGTCAGCTGCGTCGCGCCAAGAGCGCATTCGCTATTTACAGGACGCAAAGTAAGTCTAAGCGGAAAAAATGAGCATGTCACAAGCAAACAGTTCACAGAAAACTGTTAAACAGAGCATCTACTGCGTGACAATGAGAGATAATGGATCACTTTCGTTCTTGAGTAGGGAAACCTTTACGCACAGACATAAATTAGCCTATAAATAATTAGTTGTGTTTGTTAAGTGCAAATATTCATTTCAAAACTATTTCTAAATTCAGTTCTAATTTCCAGCAAACGAATAAATGAATAATAATAACAAAATGTGCTTAAAAACCTGAGTTATATCCTAAAACACATGCTGTGCCCCATATGGTCTAAAACCTGACAGGTGGGCAAATCTAAACTTGTTTTTAATAAAACAGATATAAATATGGATATAATAAATAATACTGCTAATAATAATAACATTATACAAAAGCAAATTGTTATGAATGAACTGAAAAAGCCTCCCGAGATGAAGAAGAGATAAAAGCAGTGATTTTTCATATTTATGTAGGCTAGAAAATAATATGTTTTGTAATATTTTAATCCTTTATATTTATATCCTATATCTATTCGTATTATATCCTATATATATCCTTAATATTTACATTTTTTCATATGTAAAGATATTTGCCTATTGCTCTCTTGTGTGTATTAAGCAGTGTGTAAGCGAGGCACAACTCTGCTCTGGAGTTTAGACCGGGTTAGTTTTGGTCTAATGAAAAATCTATTATAGTTTCTCAAAATAGCAACGCGCCAGCGGTCCGCCTCAGAACACCTTCCTATTTAGAGCAGAACGCCTATGGGCGCACAAATGAGCGCTAATGCATTTGCTATTTAAACAGCGTAGTGCAACGCCTCAAAACCACTCTTGCGCCAAGCTGAAACTACCAAAAGACTACTGCGCCACGCCTTGCGCCACACTGCGCCGGGTGTATGATAGGGCCCACAATCTGTTAAACATCAAGCAAATATTTGAAAAGGCCTGATAGTTTGTCTTCATCTGTAGATCTGCTGAAGTGTGTTTATTTCGTAAATCCTGCAGTATTTTCAGCGTTGTGTTCAGTGTTGAAATGCCACAGTCCTCCTCCTGCGCTCAGGCTTCAGTTCACTGTCTGTGTGTGATTGCAAGTTTAAGGTCACTCAAAGAGCAACTCTGTGTGTGTGTGTCTGTTTGTGCATAGGTTTGTGTGCTTCTGTCTCTCTGTGTGTTTGTGTCTTTTCTTTTCTGTGTGTGGATCTGTCTGTGTGTGTATGTATGTATCTGTATTTATATGTGTGTGTTCTTCACAGGGCTTCACAGCTGGATGTTGTGGAGGTTCTGTGCTTCAGAGACCGGACTCTCCAAGGCGTTCGCTCCGTCCAGCACAGCATCATCTTTCAGCTCAGACTCTCAGACCCGGCGCCTTCTGCAGGTAATTCATCACCTTCATCATCTTCATCTGAACAGCAGAATAAAGGCTGGGCTCAAATCAGGCCTCAGGAGAGCAGGACATCTATCTGCAATAGGCTCACTTTCATGGATACTAGATAGTAGTGTTCAACTTTGTAGAGTGTCAACATTTCAAATGAGCTCTTATTAAAGATTCATTTAAGGGGACTTCAAAAGAATCGACTCTTTAGATTTGAACAAACGAATCATCGTTCAAATGGACAGTTGACTCCAACTACAGATATTAATACATACAGGTTGTCGAGAGGAGTAAAGAAAGAAAAGAAGAGTTTGACAGAGCGCAATGATGTAAAAACCTCAGATTTTGTAAAACCAAAGACTCTGTGTGGTTTCTATATTTAGTGCTGGTGTCTGTGGGGATTTTCAGTAGCTGCCGTCAGCGCTGAAGGTCTAGTAGAGTTTACTCGTCCTCCGCTTGGGCTTGTTTTTCTGCTCATCTTCATCACTGAGATCTGAAGCTGGCGATTCCTGACATTCATCACACTTCAGACATGTGTGTTCCTGCGGGAGTCTCTGTGTTGTGTTCTGAAGTGTGTATTCTGGTCTCTGTCGTGTTCAGAAGTGTGTGTTCCTGCGGGAGTCTCCACAGTTCATGACATTTCTCTATCTCTCTAAGAAGCTCTAGTCCAGATACACTGGGAAAAAATGATTCATTCTATTGTGTATGAGTGTGTGTGAATGAGTGTGTGTGGCTGTTTCCCAAACAGAGATGGGTTGCAGCTGGAAGGGCATCCGCTGTGTAAAAAAACGTGCTTGATAAGTTGGTGGTTCATTCCGCTGTGGCGACCCCGGATTAATTAAGGGACTAAGCCGACAAGAAATGAATATATATTATATTAATATATAATAAATAAATATTCATGCAAAAGATTACTTAAGTGATCTTAGCATATCACTCCAGCTGTTATCGAGTAACATTTAGGATTGATTTCTATTATTTATTTAGACGAATAATTGTATAATAATATTAATAATAATTGCATTCATTTAGAATGAATATTAATACAATGTTATATCTATTGAAAAACAGATCTAACCATTTAAGAGGGGTGGGGGGTGTATTGGGTGGTTCGCCCAGGGTGTCATTTAAACTAGAACCGCCACTGCCCTCCCTGATCGTCGTTGACAGCACGCACACACCTTCAATAGACAGCAATGGCAGTTTAATATTAACCTTGGGCACATCAATAGAAGAAGCTGCATCAGTAATATTGTGGTTCAAACCGAATATGGATCATTAATATTATTCATTGTAGTTCAGGGAAATTCAGCCTTTTTTGTCAGTGAATGTCAGGGAAAAGTCAGGGAATTTCACATTTGGCTTTGAGTGTGAATCCTGGCTGTAATGTTCAGACGTGTGTATTCCTGCGGGGAGTGTGTGATGTGTGTATTCCCGCGGGAGTGTCTGCACTGATGTTGGGAATTGGGGTGAAGCTCTTTTGTTGAAGATAAGAGGTGTTGAAAACTCTTCGTGATCCAATTTCTGTTGTTCATTTTCACATCCATGGCCTGATTCGAGGTTCTGTCAAACAGCCGATGCTTTTTTCCTTCAGAAACGCACACTCACACACACACATTGGTGGCGATCCTCACACTCCACTGATTCACTCACATTCAGAAGGGCTGCGATCTCACTGAATGCTGGATAATCATTTAATTTCACCACACACACACACACACACACACACACACACACACACACACACACAAATACAGACATACACAAACATACAAAAACACATGCACACCTATAGGCAAACATACAGCAAGCGCACACATACTCATTAATGTACACACACACAGACACACACACAAATAAATATATACACACATATGCACATGCATACACACATATACAAAAATTAACATATACACACGCAGACACACACTTTCTTACACATATACATGCTCATAAATAAACACACACACAAGGAAGCAAATCTACACATACACTGCATAAACACACACTAACACATTTACATGCAAATACACATATACACACATATGCACATCCATACACAGCACACACACACACACACACACACACACACACACACACAAGGAAATATATCTACACACACTGCATACACACTCTCTCACACACACACACACACACAAATAAACATATATACAACCATATACACGCAGATACACACTCTCTGACACACAAATAAATAAATATATACACATATGTACATACATACACACGCGCACACACAATCATACAAGTACATATGCTCACTGATGCACACACACACACAAACAAATAAACATACACACAAACATTCACACACACAATAAACACAACCACACACACGTGCATGTACAAACACACACACACACACACACACGTGCGCGCACACACACACACACACAAGTAA